CTCTTCATAAGTTGTAGTACCAGTTTGGTGTTATATTTTAGAAAAGAATTTAATCTACCTTTTTAGAATAAAGTATACAGGGTGTTCCATTTTAAAAATTAGCGTAGGTATTTCCACAAATTTTTTACCTGATCCCTTATTCCGAGAACTGTCACATGCGACGCGGATAATAGTTTTTTTTAAATAGCATTAACGATTACGGAGACGAGTGTCGCAAATATGAGACACTCTGTATATTCATTTGTTCAGGAAAGTTGTTATTTTTATGTTTATTTTACCGTCAAGTCTCGTGTGGTATTTTTGCCCCATCCTGTAAGTATCTGCCCATTGTGTTTCTTGTTAAACTTGTCTTTGTAGGTGAGCTCAATCAAGATGGACTTTAACGAAGAAAAACCATTTTTTTATGTGAACAATTGTACCTGACTCAAATGCCAGTATGGATAACTCCTGATCCTAAACTATTTACCCTTCCTGTACGTCCCTGGCATTTAATAAACGATAATAAGTGAAAGGTTGTTTTTTTATCCTGACATCACCTTTTTGAATGGAACACCCTGTATTTTTAATCTTTGGACGATATTAAAATATTCTCTTCATAAGTTGTAATACCAGTTTGGTGTTATATTTTGGAAACGAATTTAATGTACCTTTTTAGATTAATATATACAGGGTGTTCCTTTTTAAAAATTAGCGTTTTTCCACAAATTTTTTTACCTGATCCCTTCTACTTATTCTAGGAACTGCCACATGCGACGTGGATAATAGTTTTTTTAATAGCATTATCGATTACGGAGATGACTATTGCAAATATGAGACACCCTGTACCCATTTGTACAGGAAAAAGTTGTTATTTTTATGTTTATTTTACAGTCAAATCTAGAGTGGTGTTTTTGCCCCATCCTGTAAGTATCTGCCAATTGCGTTTCTTGTTAAAACTTTTGTCTTTGTAGGTGAGCTCAATCACGGTCGCCAATCAAAGATGGACTTTACGAAGAAAAACCATTTTTTTATGTGAACAATTGTACCTGAGTCAAATGCCAGTATGGATAACTCCTGATCCTAAACTATTTACCCTTCCTGTACGTCCCTGGCATTTAATA